CCAGGGGCTCCCCCAGAGCTGGCTGAGCCTTCCCCCCCTCCCTGTGCCACGTCCCCAGCCCCAGGAGCCCTGAGCTGGACCGGCACCCCGGAGGCGTTGTCGCCGGTGGATGGTGGTGGCCAAACTGGAGCCGTGGGGTGGGGCCAGGAGCCTGTGTTGTGCCCCCCAGGGAGCTCGTGGGTCTTCTCCCTGGCTGGGTGAAGCTGGATTTGACTCCCCCACCTGTGCTGGCCCTCTGCAGAGGAAGTTCTCCATCCCGAGGTGCTGCTGGGGACTCGTGGTGGGCGAGGGCTGAGCTTTGAAGAGCAGCAGGAAGGGCAGAGGTGATGGTCCTTCCTCACCTCGTGGGTGCCTCTTCCTCACAGGGGGGCACATCCAGCCCCTGGGTCTGCCTCTCCTGGGCTCTGAGCCCTATTTCTCCCCCAGGCTGCTGGCACAGGCCACATCACCACGGTCACACGTGGGGCATCACCCCCTCCCCCTGCTGCCAATGTCTGTCGTGAGCCAGCTGTTTGCTGAAGCCAAACTCAGTCACAGTTTAGAGCTTATTTTTACAGCTTTTGAATAAAAGTTGCTGTGCACGGGTCACTGGGTGGTTTGTGTTGGTGGAGCAGCTCGTGGGGACGCTGCCCTGCCCCGTGTCACCCCCCTGAGGGGACACACGTGTCCTGTGCTGCTCCCAGGGCTCTGGGCACTCCCCTGGAGCTCATTCTTACACATCTCGTGGCAACTCACACAAAAATAAGGTGCTGGGGTCTGCTGCTGAGGTCCAAGTAAAGAGTTGATCACACAAAGTGTTTCATTCCTGTGGTTTTAAAGGAATTTAAAGGTGGTTATCTATGGGTTGGACTAGATGACCTTTAAAAATTCCTTCCAACCCAAACTATTCTGTGATTATCCTTTAGCTGGCCTCGAGGAGAGAGCTCAGGGATAGTCGTGGAGAGAGACACTGCTCTGCATCTGTGGGAATTTTAATGAAAGAAGATAGTTAAAATAGCTGAGTCGTTGAGGGGTGGTGAAGTCCCCCTCCCTGGAGGGCTTTAGGAGATGTGGAGCTGTGCTGAGGGACTTCAGTGGTGACCTGGCAGTGCAGGGGGAAGAGTTGGACTCATGATCCTCAAGGCCTCTTCCAACTAAAACAATTCCATGACTCCCTGACCCCTCCTCTGACGCTTCCAGAAGCGATAAGCAGCTGTGGGTGTTTTCCTCAGCCCTGGCCAGAGGCAGGAACTGCTTGTCCTGGAGCATTCCAGCAGCATTGCTCACGGGCTGGGCTGGGCCAGAGCTGCCCCCGAGGGGTGTCCGGGTGTCCCCCCTCCCAGCCAGGGGCTCAGCAGCAGCAGGGGTGGGTCAGGGGGAGGTTTAAACATGATACCTGGAGGAGGGGGTTATTCAGAGGGGGTGTCTGGGTGTCTGTGTGTGTGTGTGTCTACACAGACACCCACAAAGCCACCCCTGTGCCTGTCTAAACACCCCTAAAAGACACTTCTGGGTGTACAAACACACAGCTACACTTACTGACACCCCTCTGCCTTGTCTGTCTCTGTGTGTGTACATAAATAGGGGTGTGTGTTTATAAACAGGGACAGGAGGGCATCCAGAGGGACCTGGGCAGGCTGGAGAGGTTGCTCAGGGTAACCTCCTGAGGTTCAACAAGGCCAAGTGCAGGGTCCTGCCCCTGGGCTGGGGTAACCAGCACGATCAGTACAGGCTGGGAGAGGGGTCACTGCAGAGCAGTCCTGTAGGAAGGGGCCTGGGAGTGCTGCTGGATGAATAGCTGGGTGTGAGCCACCAGTGTGCAGTCACAGCCCAAAAGGCCAATCCCATCCTGGGCTGCATCAGAAGCAGCGTGGCCAGCAGGTGGAGAGAGGAGATCTGCCCTGTGAGACCTCACCTGGAGTCTGTGTCCAGCTCTGGAGCCCCAGCACACAGGAGGTGTAGACATCTTGGAGCAGGGCCACCAAAATCACCAAGGTGTTGGAGCCCCTCTCCTATGAGGCCAGGCTGAGGGAGCTGGGGCTGTGCAGCCTGGAGAAGAGGCTCTGGGGGGACATTACAGTGACCTCCCAGTGCCTGGAGGGGCCTCCATGAAGGTCTGTTCAAAATTGTAAGGCTAGGACAAGGAGTGATGGTTTTAAACTAGGAAAAGGACAGATTTAGACTTGACATTCTAAAAAAGTTCTTTAAGCTACGAGTGCTAGACCACGACTGCCCAGAGAGGGGGTGGAGGCCCCATCCCTGGAGTCATTCAAGGTCAGGGTTGGTAGGAGCCTAGGTGACCTGATCCAAGTAGAGACATCCCTGCTTGTGGGGACCTGATGAGCTCTGAGATCCCTTCCAGCCTAAAACATTCTAGGAATACATAAGTAAGTGTCTATATCTATCCATCTATCTATCTATCTA